TTTGGAGTCTATCTTGGAGATAGAGAAGGGGTGAGCCTTGAGTTTGGGAGTTGAAATGGAATCAGAAGACAGACAGGCACGGAAGTCCATACCAATAATCCTAGACATCAGGATTGCCAAGAGTTCAAGGCCAGCCCGGGCTACAGAGCGGGACCAGATGCGGGTAAGGTTGTCTCTGCCGCCTTCCTGCCTCCCTCCCCGTGAGCATGTCGCTCCTCTGCTGCCCTCCAGTTAAAGAAGTCCTGGCCGTCCCCAACTCCATCCTGGAGCTGCCCTGCCCTCAGCTGTCAGCGCTGGCGTCTTACCACTGGAGCCACGGTCACGGCCACGGCAGGGCCGCAGTCCCGGAAGCCTCCTCCGCCGTCTACAATGGCTCCCTCCTGCTGCTGCCTCAGGCTGGTGTTGGGGGCCTCTACCAGTGTGTGGCCACGGAGAACAACTACTCGTACCCGGTGGTCTCCTACTGGGTGGACAGCCAGGAGCAGCCCCTGGCCCTGGATCCCGAGCTAGCCGGTGTTCCCCGGGAACGGGTGCAAGTCCCGCTGACCAGGGTCGGCGGTGGGGCTTCCCTGGCTGCCCAGCGGTCCTACTGGCCCCATTTCCTCATCGTCACTGTCCTCCTGGCCATAGTGCTCTTAGGAACACTCACTCTCCTCCTTGCCTCCCCACTGGGAGCACTCCGGGCTCGCGGCAAGGTTCAGGGCTGTGGGACGCTACCCCCCCGGGAAAAGGCCCCACTGAGCAGGGAACAGCGTCTCCAGCCCTCCAAGGACTACAGGACCTCGGCCAGTGACGTAGACGCTGACAACAACCATCTAGGCCCTGAAGTGGCCTAACCTGGGCCACAGGTGGGAGCTGGGCAGAGCGAGGCCCCCGGCCACGCCGCCCGGGGCCAGGTACGGTGCACTGTGACTAGGGTGGGAGGCTCTCCTGCGGCCGTGGTTCACCTGCAGCACCCAGGAGGGCCTCACGGCACCCAGGAGGGCCTCCCCTACGGGACTCTCTTCCGTAAGCACATGGGCTGCCTCCACCCGTGCCGGGACAGCGAGAGCCAGACAGGATTCTTCAGTTTCGGTCAACCAACCCCAAGCGCTCCAGGAGACCCCGGAAGGTGTGGCTGTCCAGGATTCTGTGCCAACAGACCCGAGCATCTGAGCAGGCCGGGGGCTGTTCCTGCAGACTCCATCCTGGAAGATGCCACTCTGGAAGCTGCTGCTGCTTTGAACACCAGCCCCCCATCCCCACCCCATTCTCCCAGGGTCTCCAAGATTGTGCTCCCCTTACCAGTCATGCCCTACTGTTTGGGAAGTCTTTTCTGAAGTTTGACCACCTTCCTTCTTGCTTCAGTTTGGACAGGTTGTTATTGTCTCTGGCCTGGCTGGAATGGCAGGCATAATCTGAGCCTTGTTCTCTTGTCTAGTGTGGCTGACCCCTTTGAACTCTCCCTTCCCCTTCCCCGTGTTTTGACTCAGAAAACTGCTTGTCACAGACGATTTATTTTTTATTAAAAAAGATATAAGCTTTAGACAAAGCTTATGATGTGCCGTTTTTGTCGTGGCCAAGTTCCCACCAGGACAGCCCGTGTGGAGGACTCGGTCTTGGGTGGCACTCTGTAGCTGCGGCCGGCAAGCCCCAGCCTGTCCCAGCCTGCCCCAGCCGACCCCTCCCTGTGCGCCAGGCAGGGCTAGGACTGCGTGGAGCAGCCTCAGCTGTGTCTGCTAGACACTGTGGCGGCCACACCTGCTGTCCCTGGCACTCCCACGCTAGTCGTGACTCCAGTTCAGCTCTGTCCCCAGCAGCAGAGCCTACTCCACAGCCACCCCCACCCTGGCCACATCCCTTCTGCACAGCTGACAAGACAGGCACTAACCACACCCCCACACTGCCTTTTCCTCCCTCTGCCAGGAAGTCAGTCACACGTTGGCCTGCAACTAACGCCTATCCCTCTGTTCTGTAGTGCGACGCCCAGCAAGCTTCTCCTTCACCTAACTGGCTCCCCCCTCCTGACTCCAGGTGTGGACACACCGTGAAAAACTGAACACACGGGTTTAGGGGTACCCACGGGTTTAGGGGTACCCACGGGTTTAGGGGTACCCACGGGTTTAGGGGTACCCACCTGTGATCCCAGCGCTCAGGAGGCAGAGGCAAGAGAACCAGGAGCTGAAACTAGCCTTGGCTACATAGTGAGACTGAGGCCAACCTGAGTTAGAAGAATGTCTCAAAACACCAAAAAACGGAGAAGTCAAAAACCTTCCCCATAGCTCTGTCTGTCAGTCTGTACTTGGTTTCCCTTCCCTATGACCACTGACCACCAAAGAGGGTCCCATAGCCTCCCTTGTCCCCTTCGCTGGTTCTCTTGAATCCCCTGGGATGTAGCTCTCCCCACCTCCCTGCCCCATGACCTCCCCTCCCTGCCCCATGACCTTCCCTCCCTGCCCCATGACCTCCCCTCCCTGCCCCATGACCTCCCCTCCCTGCTCCCTGACCTCTCTCAGATTGCCCATTCTGCCCTTAACCGCAGATTGGCTTTGGCCTCTGCTCGGCCACCGCCCCCTTCCTCACCAATCTTCTACTACGGAGTTTTTAAAAAGGTTTTAGAGCCAATGAGAAGGCCCAACGTAAAGGCCCTTGCCATCAAGCCTGCTTGACCTAAGTCCAGTCCCTGGGGCCCACACGGAAAACCGGAATCTGAGCTCGACATGTGTGCTGTGATACCTATATGTCCACACACGTAAATGAATTAATGTAATATGAAAAAATGTCATTTTTAAAGCTGGGCAGTGGTGGCACACGCCTTTAACCCTGGCACTTGGGAAGCAGAGCCAGGTGGATCTCTGTGAGTTCGAGGCCAGTCTGGTCTACAGAGCAAGATCCAGGACAGGCACCAAAACTACACAGAGAAACCCTGTCTCTAAAAACAAAACAAAACAAAAAAAATAATTGTTTTTAATTGTGGGGCCTGGAGAGATGGCTCAGCGGTTGAGAGCACTGGCTGCTCTTCCAGAGGACCCGGGTTCAATTCCCAGCACCCACATGGCAGCTCACAGCTGTCTATAAATCCAGTTCTAGGGCTTCTGACACCCTCACACAGACACACATGTAGGCAAAACATTTTTTAAGAAACAGAAAAATCAAACAGCAATGCTTCCCCTCTCCCCGCTCCCTGCGCTTACCACTCTGCTTCTTCTTCTTCTTCTTCTTCTCCAGTTAAATTTTGTTTATTTTACCGGTGCAGGGGGGCGGGGATTCCTGTGCCATGGCACATGTGTGGAGTCAGTTCCTTTCATCATGTGTGTCCTTGGGACAGACGTCCGATTGTCAGGCTGGACAGCAAGCATGTTGATCTACTAAGCTTAGCTCGACCACTCAGGATTCTTATTTTTTTACTTTTTTTTTTTGTTAGACTTACTTTTACTCATATGAGTGTTTGCCTGCATGTAGGTGCATGCACCACATGCAAGCTTGGTGCCTGAGGAAGTGGTGAACATTTATGTGAGTGCTGGGACTCGCACCTGGATCCTTGATAAGAACAAATGCTCTTAACCTCTAAGCCAACTCTCCAGCCCCAGGGTTCCCTTTTAAAGACAATAATATTCCATTGTGTAGCTACTCTCTTTTCTGTCTCCATTTATCCAGAGATAGAGATTTGGGTTGCTTTTCCTTTGATTATTGTGAATAATGCTGCCTCAGTAACAGAAGTATGCAAAGACTCTCTTTCTGATCCTCTCCACCAAGATTGGTTGTGGTTTTAGATTTGTTTGTTTGTGTCTATGTAAATATACAGGTGCCGTAGGAGGCCAGAACAAGGCGTCAGATCCCCGGGAACTGCGGTTGCAGGCAGTTGTGACCTACCTGATGTGGGTGCTGGGAACTGAACTCTGGTCCTCAGCCAGAACAGCAAGTGCTCTTGACATGGGCCATAGCTCCAGCCCCTGGTTGTTTTGTTTTGTTTTGTTTTGTTTTTTGAGACAGGGTTTCTCTATGTAGACCTGGTTGTCCTGGAACTCACTCTGTGGACCAGGCTGGCCTCAAACTCACAGACATCTGCCTGCCTCTGCTTCCAGAGCTGGGGTTAAAGGCATGTTTCAGCTGTTTGTTTTTTGTTTTTTATTTATTTATTTATTTATTTATTTATTTATTTATTTATTTATTTATTATGTATACAGTGTTCTACCTACATGTGTGTGTGCAGGCCAGAAGAGGGCACCAGATCTCATTACAGATGGTTATGAGCTGCCATGTGGGTGCTGGGAATTGAACTCAGGTCCTCTGGAAAAACAGCCAGTGCTCTTAACCTTTGAGCCATCTCTCCATCCCTGTTTTTGTTTTTTTATTGGAGCAATTGGGCTTCTTTCATTTCTTTTTTCCCTGTGAACTCCTTTTCTTCCTCACACTAGCCAAAGGCCCTGCACCTGGGCCCTTTCCAGGCTAGTCTTGCTGCTCCCAAGACTCTAGAACAAGAAACTTGGGGAGGGCACACGATGAGGCTGGGCTCCCGGGCTCCCAGACTTTCCTTCCTGTGCCGGACGGGAGCTTGGGTAGCCCTTCTGGTTTGACCCTTGATTTCTGCAGCTGTTGATTGACGGAGTGGACAAGGAAATAGTCATACTTTCCAGCATCATGATGCTTCACCTCCCTAGAGGCCAGTGTCCCTCCATGCTCAGTCGGCCTTCACTCTGCCGACCATCTTTCTGCCACTCACTCAGAGGCTTCTTGAACCATCCCCTGTGGTGGATAATTCCGGGCTGTGCTAGGGAATACCTAGAACGTCGTCGCCTCTGTGAGTGTCTGCGAGGCTGTTTCTAGAGCAGACAGCAAGCTGGCTGGGAAGGAGCCACCCTTAATGTGGCAGGCACTGTCCAGCCATCCTTCCAGACTCCAGGATTCACACCAGTGTCCCTCTTCTTCCACTTAAGTGGAAAGTCACACCAGCAACCTCTTTGATCCCGAGGTTTTAGAACGTGTACTAAGTCACTCTATCTGCCTCCATGGGACTCCTCAGCTTCTGTAATCATGTGAGCCAATTTCTTTAATCCCTCATCCGTCACCTACCTGTCTGTCTGTCTGTCTACCAATGGATCTATCTATTCATCCATTCATCCTTTATCCACTCTGTGTTTGGAGAGCCATGCCTAATACACCCCTCTGCAGCTGGAAGTTTTCCTGTGTCCTGCCCGGTTTGCAGCCGCTCAGACCCAAATAAACACACAGAGGCTTATATTATTTTTAAACTATATGGTCTAATGGCTCAGGCTTCTCGATAGCTAGCTCTTAAATCTATACTTTGCCATGTGGCTTGTGACTTACCAGTACTTTACATCTTCTTTTGGCGGCAGCTGGCGTCTCTCCTGTTCTGCCTTTCTCCTTCCTCCCTCTCTACTTAGAATGTCCTGCCTAACCTTATTCTGCCTCACCATTGGCCAAACGGCTTTATTTATCAACCAATCAGAGCAACACACATTCGCAGCATACAGAATGACATTCCACAGCGCCCCTTCCATCCCCCTTTCCTCCCTCATGACAACACAGAACACTTTGCTTTTCCATGCACTCTCCGTGATGCTGGGACTGCTCTCATGTTTTAGCTACTGTGATCAGTGCTGCTATGAACACAGGAATACAAATGTTCCCAGTTCTTTTGATCATACCCAGAAACAGCCCTAATGGATCATACAGAGGCAATTCTGTTTGCCTTTGGAAGAACAACCAGGTGCTCCTCACCACTTCACACTCCTACCCATGGGGCACAAGCACTCCAATTTCTCCACACACACAGCCTGTTTTTTGCCAACACTTGTTATCTTTTTTTTTCCCTATTTCTCAGAGCCATTAGGTGCCTGAGATAAGGTGCCTCATTGTGGGTTTTTAAGATTTAAATTTTTTTAATTGTATGTGCATGAATGTTTTGTCTACAGGTATGTATGTGCACCAACTGCATTTCTGGTGCCTGAAGAGGCCAGAAGAGGGTGTCAGATCTCTTGGCACTGATGTTACAAGTAGTTGAGAGCCACCATGTGGGTGCTGGGAACTGAACCATTGCCACGTCTCCAGCCCAGCTCTGCCTTTTTCCCAGCAGTTATTTACATGTACCGATCTTACAGAAAAGCCAACTGTGGCTTATGGCACACATGTTGAGAGACTCCCAACTGCTTGTGAACCCAGTTCTAGGGATCTGACTCCCTCCTCTAGTCTGCTTGGAGACCTGTACTCATGTGCGTGCACACACACACACACACACACACACACACACACACACACACGAAATAAAGAAGTAAACAAACAAAAGCTGGAAAGCTGGCTCAACAGTTAAGAAATTATTCTTTTGTTTGTTTGTTTTGTTTTTCGAGGCAGGGTTTCTCTGTGTAGTTTTGGTGCCTGTCCTGGATCTCCCTCTGTAGACCAGGCTGGCCTTGAACTCACAGAGATCCGCCTGCCTCTGCCTCCTGAGTGCTGGGATTAAAGCGAGCACCACCGCTGGTCAAGAAATTGTCCTTGCTGCTCTTCCAGAAGACCTGATTTCAGATC